CACACACACACTTTCCTTTTCTCTGGTGCAATTTGACTTCTCCTCAGCAGACCCTGTTCTAAGATTCTGAGATTTCTCTCATAGATATGTGTCCTTGGATTAGCTTTGACATCAACATATACCTCAGGGTGTGTCTGGACTTGACAAGATGAAATAAGGTCTGAGTACACACCCTCCTCTGTGATGCTGCTCTAACGTTTTCTCTATGGGATGCAGAAATTTACCTCTCAAGTGAAGAGCATCTTTATTGCCCTCTGTATTGGAGATGGTTGAGGTGAGACAAAGAAAATAAAAGAATGGGAGGGCACATAGTACAAGACAAGAATGCCCAGCCAAGAGCAAGGGAGAAATCCTACTTTGGGCTCCATCCCTGCTTGTCTCTACAAACCCTCTCTTGGGCTGTTCAATCTACTTCCCTGTTAACAGATGGCTCTGATCCAGAAGGATGAGAACCAGAGAGGCAGTATGCCATGAGATTTAACACTACTCAGCCTCCAAAGCAAGGCTGAGTCTAGGGTATGGCAAGCAGCAAAGAACTTCCCTAGCAATGTGATTCAAGGAGGCACTCACTCTCAGGTGTGAGCCCTGCACCTACACGAGACTTCAAGGGAGTGCTGCCTTAAATTTTGTGCCCTAGGGAACCTCTCTTACCTCACCCTAATCCTGGTGTGGTTGCTTGGGTTTAAATCCCAGCTCTACTAACATTTGTGAGCAGTATAACCCACACAATGAAGTTGAGTTACTTAACTTCATTAACTACCTGAAGTTAAGAGTTACTTAAACTCTTGTGTCTCAATATTCTCTTCTGTAAAATGGGAATGACACCTTCTATCTCATAGCATTATTGTGAGGATAAAAAGTGAGGTTTTTAAGAACAGCACAGAAACATAGTAAGAATCTGAGATATTAGCTCTTCTCTTACCATTCGGATAGACTACTAATAATAGCCTCATTCAGTTTACTGAGTATGATGCCAGGAATTGAAACCCAGAAACAACAACAACAACAACAACAAAGAAATCACAAATAGGCATGAAATGAAATACTCTTTCTGACAGCCACAGAAATCTGACATACCGTGCCTAACGGAATAACATCACCCAGCCTCTGCTCTCCCTGCAGCAATCATCGCTAGGTCTTGAATCACTATCCTGATCACCTTGATCTTTAACAAGAAAACAGCTGGTTTCCTTTCATCTCGTACCAGTGCAAGGAAAGGCATGAGGCCTCATGAAAGCTCAGGATCAAACACTCAGAGCACCCCAAGCATCTTTTTGCTTGTATAAGAAAGTAAAATTTCCAAGCTACAGTTAGGCATGTTTAAAGGAATAATGAACTCCAAGATGAGGGACCACAATGAAAGCAAGAAAGCATTTTATGATCTTTTACTCCAAAGAGCAAATTCCCCATTCTCGGGCTCCACAGTTGGGGGTTGAAGGGAGAGGTGCATCATGGGTTGAAAACTTTTGTCACCACTGTGCTCATCTTTTTTGTCTCCTGAGTCACAACGCCATATGCCGCCCTTGGCAGGACACAGGTACCTGCAGAGATGGGATAGGGAGCGACCCGGAGCCGTGTCCCAGCCTGTTGAAAGACTGCATGGAAGGAATTCTGAGACAGGCCAAAACATGCAAACGTGATAGAATGCAGGTGTTTCTTTCAAAGAGTACCTAATTCAACAAAATTTTGCAGGCATCGGGTTTTAGTAAGGGACGTGGTCCTAAAACTTCCCTGGGTCCTTTCGTTTAGTAACTATCACTTTTTAAAGGATTTCCAAACTATAATCAGAAATCATGTAAAGGAGCAAGTCAGCAGGTTGAATTTATGGGGTGAAGATGAAATTTGTCACAGGAGGTAAACTTTCCAAGCAGAGAGGTGGTTGTGTGTGCACTAATCCCTGATAACTTCACACATCATTTAGAATCAGTAAGCCTTGCAGACAAGTTATTCAGGCTAACCACCCTTCGGTGTTTCAGGCCGACTCGAGAGAGGAAGAATTAAAGGACATTTTAAACCTGGTAGAGTGTGTCACAGTGTCACCTCTCTAGGCATTTGCTAAGCAAATATATTAGGAGATTATAAATCCCCACCCAGCAAGAGGTACTGAGACTCCATCATACAAGTAAAAGTAACTTGGCACTACAGGGAACTGTCTCCCCCCCAAACTGGAAGATGTGGATTTTACTATCTACTATACAAATTCGACACAGTGGAGAAATGACAGACTTCCTTTGAAGCTTTCGTGTGTCCGGAATAAAACCTACACTCATCAGCAGCATCTTCAGGGTCTCCAGTGCTCTGGTTTCTGATCTCCTATGCCATCCCTCTCATCTCCTGCCCCAATCCCAGCACCTGCTGAACCTACTGGGGCTCCCTGAACTTGGCAATATGCTCCCACCAAATTCTCTTGCCTCTGATTGAAAGGTCTCTCTGGGCCACACTTTATGTCTCAACTCAAGCACTAGCTTCTCTATGCTGACCTTGACTCATAAATTTTGGCTCTTTGGCTCCATCACAGTCATTAGATCATCATATTTATTTGCATGTCTATCTCCAAGCTGTGCTTTTCCAGTCTTGTTTCCCTAGTTCTTGCATAAGACGGGGCATAGAATGAACACCCAATAAGTAGATGCCAGACAAGTGAGTGAGCTAATAAATGAATGAATGAACAGGCAAAGGAACTGAATGCACAAGACCTATAAGCAGGTACTGTAGGACAGACACGGGATATGAATATCATATCCAGAAACAATTCATTGAGGCAAAAAACAGGGTCATCTAGACTTGTCTACCAGGACCATAGGTTCTGGTGAAGAAGTGAGGCAGGGGTCTGAGGAATAGGCCAGCCTATTTAATACTCTGGTACTGGGGACACAGACCCTGAGATTTAATTGCAATTTGCTGTCTATGTGAACTTAGTCATTGAGACTCTTTATTCTCGGTTCCTCTTCTATAAAATGCAGATAAAAATTCTATGTGTTTGTGGGGATTACATATATGTACAGCCTAGCAAAATGTGTGGCATGTAATGGTTGCTCAATAAAGGGTAGCTACCATAAATGGAAGGTTCCCTTAAAAATGTCTATCAGGTAAGGCAGTTGTCAGGAAGAAATGAGGCATTGCACATAAAACATTAAATATATTGCCTGGCTTATGTAAGCACTGAATGCTTACATGTAATGCTTACATGTAATGTAACATGCTTACATGTAATCAATATTGTTCTTATTGGTGTCAACATTATTATTATTGGAGTCCAAGATGAAGTAGCAGCATTTGCAAAACAGAGGACAGGACCTAGCAGTGGAAAATCAGGAGTCCCATGGAAAGAGACATGGCACAGGGAGCCAACTGCAATGATGCCAGGGAATGAGGGAAACTTTCGATGGTAGAGCATGTATATGATTGTTCAAGAGGGACCCAAAACATTAGGTAATCATCAACCAGGTTGAGCTACCAAAAAACCCTAGCAAACCACATCTCAGGTCAGTCATAGAAATGGTAGCTGAATGTGGGAGCTGAGGAAGCCAAAGGACTTCCTGTCTGTGGTCAGAAGTTACTCTGGACCCAGAGTAAGTTCCAGCTGGCCGTGGGGCAATCAGTGGGAGCAGGTGCAGCAAAAGCAAGCACACTGAGGCATCTTGGAAGAAGAGGGTCTGTAATTGCAGGTGCTGGGAGGGGCATTGAAATATGGGCACAGTGAAGTGAATTATATATTTTAGGTTATGTCAGTGGTACTTAACTATTTTCTGGGTTACAGATCCTATATGAAAACTGACTTAAACCATGGCCTCATTGTTCCCACAAAAGGCAGAAATATTCATCTGCAGTCTCAGAGGCCTTACAACTACCCTAGTTGGCCTGAAACCCATGTTAAGAGTACCTGAATTGGGTACTGAAAATAGAATTTGGTTGAAAGTGGGTTCCAACATGGTGAACAGCAAAAGTATAAATGAAGCATAAAGAGTTGACCTTCTGTTGGGGTCAGAAGGAGCGGTCCCATGTAAAAGTGGTGAGAAATGAGGTTAAGTAAATATGGAAAGATGACTGACTAAAATTGCCTGCTGAGCTGAGAAAATCCAATCTGATTGATAATTGATGAAAAGTCACTGTTCTTGAGGCACAAAAATGTGATATTTCAAACAGTTTATCTCGGTAGCCTTGTGTAAGTTTGATTAAAGCAGATAAACCCACAAAGATTATTGAAGAATTATAGATATCTTGGTTTGGAAGTGGTCCACACTCATAGAGAGCTAAAAGGGAAAAAAAATTGCACAAGGAGATATCTAAGTATTTCTTGCATACAACCCTGACTTCTCCCTTCGGTCTAAATTCATGTAGCTACTTCTCTATTGGAAAA